ATGGCTTGGCTACTACCGAGAGAGGGTAGGGAGCAGCAAGACGCCCCACGCTGGTTATGTCGACCCCATCATGAATGACTGACCTAGATTCCACTTGAACATGTTCGATAAGAGCTCCCCAAACCTGTCACTCGTGCCATCAAGGTAGGTCCTACGCCAGTAGGTCGCCCTTAATTTACGCACGTTTTCTCTTATCGATTTTGCTATCATGCCCCCGACCCCAGCAACGGCAAGGGGTCAGACCTCACTCGGGGGCTGGCAAGAGTATCTATTCGCTAGATATTCTTTATGCCCAACCCCTTCTCACATTAAAAAAAACTAGAGGCAAGGTGTGAGGAAACAAACTCTGAGTAAAACTGGTCGGACCACAAGAAACCTACGCCCCTAGTGGCTATAGCATTTTTGCTCACCAGCGTGATCAGAGTTTTTGTCCCCGCACCCCAAGCTTTAGCCTTCACCTTCTCGGGAAGGGTTTGGAGGGGCCCACCTGGAATCTCCATCAAGGAGAGGCCGGCGGGTCGCCCAAGTCGATCGAATGGCTTAGGCCACTGCTGAGAGACGGATAGGGAGAAGTGGGATGCCCCATGCAGGTTACGCCAACTCCGTCACAAACAACAGACCCGGACCCCGCACGGACATATCCGATAAGGAGATCCCCGAACCCGTCACTCGAGCCATCAAGGTAACTTTACCAACCCCCACTTTTCTTTTCCATTGCATGATCATTCATTCATTCATTCTCATGCATGCATTCATACATTCATTCATCCATTCATCCATACATTCATCCCATGCATCCAAGCATTGCATATGCAATTGCTGCATCACAACGCTTCGTGTCGCGTCATGAAGCGGTAGTTGTCTCATTTGATATGAGCGGCGACCGACCGAGGTTCGAAGGCTGACCCACGAAGGGCTTGAGGCCGCCTCGCATCAAACAGAGCCGGGAGAAAAACGTAGATGAGCCCCAACGGCCTTGCCCGACCTCGCTCAGAAGCGACAGGGACATCTAGACCTTTCTCGTTTGATCCTAACCTCGAGCCAAGCCCATAGAATCTCCATCGAGGAGAGGCCAGTGGGCCACCTAAGTCGCTCTCGGGCGACATGAGCATCTACCGGGAGGTGGGTTAAGGAGCAATGGAATGCCACATGAGGGCTATGCCGACCCCATCGGTGAACGACGGACCCGGATTCCACTCGAACATGTCCGTTAGCGAGCTCACCAAGCGTGACACTTGAGCCATCGAGACAAGTGTCGTTAGCTCAACCCCTCTAGTTGTGGAAACCACGGACGGGGTGACGCATGAAACTCAGCCGACCCCTACCAAGCCCAACGAGGCATGGGGGCTCAAGCTACCCGACCCTAACTCAGGAATCCAACTAACCGGGGTTCGAAGGCTGACCCACGAAAGGTTTGAGGCCGCCTCGCGATGACCAGAGCTAGGTGGAGAAAATGCAGATGAGCCCTAGCTTCCTTTGCCCGACCCGCTTAGAAGCAAACAGGGTCATCTCAACCTTCTTGTTTGATCCTGACCTCGAGCCAAGCCCATAGAATCTCCATCGAGGAGAGGCAGCGGGCCACCTAAGTCGCTCTCCAGAACAACCCGGGCATCTGCTGGGAGGTGGGTTAAGGAGTAGTGGAATGCCACATGAGGGCTATGATGACCCCATCACAAACGATGGACCCGGATTCCACTCAAACACGCCCATTAGCGAGCTCGCCGAGTGCGTCACTCGAGCCATCAAGGCAAGTGATGCTAGCTCAACCCATCTGGTTGCGAAACCACGAATGGGGTGACAATCACAAAGATGAGCTGACCCTCGACTAGACCCCCGCTACGCGTGGGGCTCGATGAAAGTTGGACTTGCAAGGAGACCGAATGCACGGTCGCAGACGACAAACCCCCGAAGGGGTCAAAATTAGGGAAGAACCTTTTCCGACCCAACAAACCTCACGGCTATACCTCCAGGGGTCCAATCTCAATGAAAGGGAATCACTGTCCCTAGGTCACACCATGGGCGACAAAATGACACCAGAGTCCTCCCGCTCAGAAAAACCTCCGAAGGAGTTTTCTACTCCTCCAAAGACTCAGAGGCTAGTGTCGGGGACCAATACTAGGGTACCCAAAGAGGAGGAGCAAATGACCATCAACATTAACTCATCCGAGCAGTCAAGAGCGCGACTACAGCTCTAACCGACCCCCAGCGCGCAAGCTCCGCTTCTTCTGGCCTCTAGGAGAGGGCACCGCCTCGCCTAACCTTTGGGTCTGCGTTTCACCTCGGCAGACCCTTGGGCCTACACCCTTGGGTCTATGCTTCGCCTCGATCGACCTCTAAGGGGGAACTCTGTCTCGCCTGACCCCAAGGCCACGGGCTCTGCCTTGCCTAACCCTTGGGTCTATGCTCCGCCTCGCCCGACCCTTGGGTCTGCGCTCCACCTCGCCCGACCCCCGGGTCTACGCACCGCCTCGCCTGACCCTTGGGTTTACACTCTGCCTCGCTCGACCCTTGGGTTTGTGCTCCACCTCACCCGGCCTCTAGGGGAGGACTCCGCCTCACCCGACCCCGAGGCCGCGGGCTTCGCCTCTCCCGACGGAGACCCATACTACCGCCAACCACTCCAGGTCCAAGCGTATAGGCATGAGTCAAAGCTTTGACACCAGGGAAGAGACCGGCATGCCCCGATGTAACCCATGCCCTTGACGGGCCATACTAGAGGATTCACAGCAAGAACAGCGTCGGGCATACCGGTGCTGTTCTGCCTAACCCCTGTACGAACACTGACAGGCGCGTTAGTTTACCACGATGTTCACCAGGACAGAGTGGAGCGCCATGACCAGCATATGACCCCTGCATGGCTCCAGTGACGGACAGGACCACGACGCGAGGCCGTCCCTATTGACATCTATAGGGTGGTGGGACCCGCATGAAGGAGAAGAAGGACCCGACGATCCTGAAGGCCTTCGGCTCTCTCTCTCTCTCTCTTGTTCTTTTTTTTCCTCCGCTATAACCCATGCTTTCCCTTGGCCTATAAGAGGGAAAGCAGGCCGTCCCATAAGGGGCATGGCAACACATCACATCGATTTAGGCTAGATCCAATTGAACCATAATGAGACTATCGAACTCCGAACACACGGCTGAGTAGCAACCGAGCTCTTTCAGCACCCGTTCACTCCTTTCACCAGAGACTTGGGACATGTCCCTCTCTCACCCATTTGTAACCCCTACTACGAACTTTCAATGCTAGTAACACGAGCAACAACAACGAACTGGACGTAGGAACATTCTGCCCGAACCAGTATAAACCTCATGTCCTCTAAGCACACCATCCGAGTCAGACGCGCAATATTAGAAATTTACCTATCGGTGGCAACTCGAAACATCAACAAGTAGAACATATGCTTACCTAGAATGGTTAGCTAATGAAGTAATCATGACTGCTAATAAAACATGATTGTAAGGATGAACTATTAGTAATGCTTTTTGCAAACAAAAAGAAAACAACAAACCCATATTGCCTATCATACTCCTTGGAGTCGGAAAACTATTCCCACTAGTCGGGTAAGTCTTGCGAGTATATTGTGTACTCAGGGTTTATTTTACCCTTGTTGCAGGTGCAGCTTGAGGAGTAGCTCTTATGTGGATCACTCTTCTGGTGAGCACAGACGGATCCTTGTATCGATTCCGCTAGATGTTTATCTTTATTCCGTTGTTTAATTATCGCACTCTGAACTATGGTATTGTAATAAATGATTTCCAAGAACTCTGGTTGTATGAAATGGACTAAGTATTGTAAGCTCGTACTCATTATTGGATTATGGCTGTAAAACGTGGATTGTTTTGAGTTCTCCCTTGGGGTGTGCTCGACGGAACTGTCCGATGTAGCTCACTTTCGAGGTGCTTAGTGTCTAGTGGAAGACGAGCGCCTCTGAAAGCGTGTTATTTCAGACGGTTCTGCCACATTTGTCCAACTCTAGCCCGACCCTTGTTGAAATCTTCCGGGAGTCATAACTTCGCCATCCAGACTCCGAATTGGGTGAACCAAAACTCGATTTACTATATCTCGATGATATCTTCGACATGGTATAGTCAAAATGGGCATTTGATGAAGTGTTTTTACTATGTATGTAGCCACCTTGTTCCTACACTCACATAGCCATCACAACTTATGGAAATGGTTAGAAGTAAACCCTATAACCATGGTTTATGTTATTTTTATCACTAGTTTAGGTATGATTGATGGTATAAAATGATGTGTTAATGACCATCAATAAGCTCCTCCACACCGAACCTTTGCTCGTCCCAAGTAAAGGATTCGAACAAGAAAGGGGACTGAGCCAAGACTCAAGTGGATTTGATACACAACTTTCTCGGGATATGATGCGAGCATAAGAGATATTCAAGCCATATACTCATACATGTGGGTTTTGAAGTGGCTACAACATCACCTTGGCCGGTTAAGAAATGGAACAGTTCTGACTTAAAAACATAGTCACATAGATCCCTTCTCCTCCTCAAGTAAGATTGGAGTTTTTAACAATGTTTTTTTTCAAAACAACTCATATCTCATGTTACTCCTTGTATTGTTCTCTCAGATCACTCGGTGGTATTTGTATATATGCCCTCGTCAATATCTTTTCTTTGTCTCAAGATCCTACAACTATAGCTTATGTGGAGTTGTGGGTAGGAAAACTTAAAATACATGCTTAGAATGTTTGTATTGTAAAGTCGAAGCATAGATCCATGAAGGAAAATAGCATACAAACTATGATCAAAGAGTACAAGTGTGTGGATATGAGTGGAAGCTTGACTCTTTATACTGCCATTTAATGGGCTCAATCTTTTATGGGCCGGGCTTCCTCTGATACTGATCGCCTGACCCATGAATCCGACTCGGCGCTAGACCCTAACCAAGAATCCGACTCGGCGCTAGACTAATCGGACGGAAGGAAGACGAGAAGGCCCCGAGGCAGGAGGCGAGCGGGGGAAGGAAGAAGAAGATGAAGGTCCGCGCGTCGGTGAAGCGCCTGTGCGGGTTCTGCAAGGTGGTGAAGCGCCGGGGCATCGTTTTCATCCACTGCACCGCCATCCCGAAGCACAAGCAGCGCCAGGGCTTCTCCACCATCGCCGAAGCCGCCGCCTCGTGCGTCCACCTGCCGCCGCCACCGCCCGCTAGCGGTTCCGCTTCCGCCGCAGCGTTCGCGGAGTAAGACGAGCCTCCACTCTCCTGCCCGGATTGTCCTTATTCATTGTTACTTGTTAATCTTCCCCTGTTGTTAACGAGCAAGCAGTTCCAGAGTCACTAATGCGCTATCGATTACTGGCCAAATTAGGGTTCTGGTTAAGTTGATAGGTCAGATTTGCGCTGGATCCTTGCTCCTAGCTACGCATACGTGCCAGTTTTAGGCTAGATATCAAGATGACCAAGATTAAAGCATTTTTTTTAAAAAAAAAGAGTAACCTGTCATCTGAATCATGTACTCGTGCCTTCCTATCTAGGATGCTTAAATGCCCTCCAGAAGTCGTTTGCTATTTGTCATTTCAACATCATTACTAAGTTTTAGTCTCTTTCAAAGACATCAAGTAAAAGAAACCTGACTGGCAGTTTGTGGTTGAAGAGAATCTAACGATATGCTTGTTAAAGAGGTCACCAGAGTGTGTTCTATTTGATCTTGTGGGGTTTTCTATGAGAACTCAACTTATGTTACCACCATTGGTGAGGCTTTGGGCACTGATACAGGCTTCCTCGGCTTGTCAATTCTCTTAATTTTTCCTCAGCTGTTTCAGCGTGTATTTGAGCTAAAGGTGGCATTCTGAAATCTCATTTGCCTCCTTACTGATTTCACTGAGCTACAGCCATTTTGGCATGGGGTGGACCGGTGGGCATCAGTTTTTTCCCATGCATTTTGCATGACTTCGTAATTTCGTGATGGAAACAGAATTACTTGGATATATATACCTATTTTGTTGGATAATCAATTCCATGTTATGCTTGTTCTTTGGAGGTACAAGTTTTTTTTTTTTTTGGGTTAGCTACGCGGATCTTGACTGTGTGTCTGCCCTTAAGTGCCTTAACTGTTCTAGTTTGGTATATAATGATCTCCACTTTGAGATAAAGTACTTAGAATGTAGTAGTGATACTTTTGTGAAGATGACATATTGACATGATAGCTTGGTGTATTTGGCTTGGGGCATGTTTCTGTTTGAAGGAACTAATGTGCCACTCTGTATGATCTGATGTCGGGTTCTTGGTCAACTTCTTCTTCTGGACAATAACATATTGCCAAATTTGACATTAGCTGCTCTTATCTATGTTTTTCAGAGCTTCGAAGGTGGCGAGGCAAGAGATGTCTATGAAGTTCAATTGGCCGCTGGGTTTAGCTGCCCTGCTCAAGAATGGAGAAAAATAATGCATCAGGCCTACCATACGCTGTCATTTTTAAGCAGATGTTGAATAGCGCCAGTTGGTATCATGATATCAAGAGAAGCATGTAGCAAAAACTCGAAACTGTACCATCATCATGTATTTGCAGTTACTACCCATCAATTGGACTCATGCTACGGTGGAATAATATCAGCACATATTGCTACTCTCTTAAATGTTTGATTCTTGAATGTTTAAATGTAATAGCACTTGCAGAAAGCTGCTCTGCTTAACTCTGTTATTCATCTTGCTGGGTGGCCCATTTATCGTATTGGGTGGCACAGAAATCTGCTGCGTTTGCGTGACATGTGCATTTTAAAGGAAGAGATATTGCTGGACCCACACGGCAGGCTTTAGCGTTTGTGAAATTGCTGGAACCAAAGGAATGTACAGTATGCAATTAACTAAAGAATTAAAAATGTTGTAGCACTGTAGTCAAAAGGAGACGCCACGGCGCCACCATTGTAATTCAGGATGATCCTAGTGACCAAAGAGCTAAGATGTAAAAATTGTACAATTTTGCTGTGGTATATCATCTCTAATAATTGCAAAAGCAAAATTAAATTCTGAAAGCGGTAAGGAAGTCACATCGATTGCCGTAGCACAATATTACAGTATTACAAAATTACCGATATAATTGATTGCCATAGTACAATCTTAGAGTATTACAAAATTACAGATATATAACGGTGAATGTAAACTCATAAGCTGTTAGGAAATCCATAAAGTGTAGTGATCCATAATCACCACATGATGCCACCAGGATCGAATGGTCTGAGCAATACATCAATTATAATTTATAATACACCCTATAATCTACTTCGCTGACTGAAGCCCGACCCAATGACCACCATCAACACAATCACCATTTTTGCACTGGAGTGATGAAACCCACAAATTCTAACTAACTAACCCTCAAATGATGAAATCCACAGAAGTTGATTAAGTGCACAGCAACACACTTTGACCTTGCAAAGACATCTGAACATTTTCCAGTCACTCATCCTGAAATGTATGTTTAAGAACATGGTTTTGCTATGGAAAATATATCTGTCAACTTCAATAAGCACAAATGCTCAACATCGATTCAATAAGCACAAATGCTCAACATCAATAAGGCACACACAAACATTCAATTGAACAACAATATAATGAACTAACAAAGGAATATCAGTCCAATCCCATAGTAATAAGCACAAATGTTCAACATCACACAAAGGAGTTTGAGAAAACATCACAAAGTAGAACCCAAGTAGGAGAGGCTCTGAAAATTCATTTTAATTTTGCATATAGTGGACCAACATCATTCTACTTGAACTTTTAGTGTATGGTAACACACACCAGCTACCAAAAAAAAACCTAACCAAACACTGAGCCCAAATTTAACAGCCTAACCATGCTACTCCCAATCTCACTACAGAATACAGATCAGCAATTCAAACATAGCCACAGGTGTATACTAACTCATTCATCTTGTTTTTAGTAGAAGCTAAACATTCCGTGGCGATTAGAAAAGCACAAAAGGAACAGGCATTGTAGCACATTAACGGTTCATGATAAGCACATATCTATTCAATTGACCGAATAACAACACAGAGTAATTAGCAACACTGGATGAAACACAGCACAGCGCTACCAATTTGTTCCCTCTGATTACTCTTCATCATACAAGATGCTGCAGAGGCAATACCCCTGGCCGATCAGTCGCTGGAGCCAGGGCCGGGCGTCTTGGACCCTACTCCGTACTTCTCCTGGAGCCTGGTGATCTCGTCCTCCTTTTTCTTGATATCCGACTTCTTGGACATCTTGGTTGGCTGGTAGTAGAGCACGATGAGGTAGCGGTTGGCGACGTTGAAGCCGGAGAGGTGGTCGACGGCGTTCTTGGCGTCGTAGATGTCCTCGTAGACGACGTAGGCGGTGCCGCGCGTGTCCTTGGCGTTGCCCAGCCGGATCTGCCGGATCGCGCCGTACTTGCCGAAGATGTCGTACATCTCCTCGCTCGAGATGTTGAACGGCAGGTTCCGCACGTACAGCACCCGGTTCACCTCCGGAGGGAGGCGCGCGTTCCCCTTCCGCAGGCCCGCCGCCGCCATCGCCGCCGCGCCGAAGCTCGACTAGGGTTTGGGGATTTGGGGGGTTGCTTTGCTTGCTGCGTGTAGCCGCCTATTTCTCTCGAGTCTTCGTTTGCCTCATTGGAGCCGGCGCACGGGTCGATTAGTTGCCGACTCGGGGACAGTTCCCACCGACATGTGGCCCTCCAATTTCAAGCGGGGCCCATATGTCGGCGTCTTGTCACGAAGCTTCGTCCTTCGTGGGCGAATCTTTGGCGCATAAACGCGAGCTGAGCCGCCTCGAGCCTCGGCTGCGACTCTCCGGCGACCTCCCTCCCCGAAGCTGCATCTACCGACCGCGGGCTGGGCCTCGGACCTTCGAGAAGCTTCCGGCGCTAGCCTATCGAGCACCGCAATGGCGTCCGGCGGAGCGGCCATCTCGGCGGGGCCGACGCCACCGTCGGCGACCGCGACGGCGGTGGAGTGGCACCAGCGGCCGCCGAACCCGAAGAACCCCGTGGTGTTCTTCGACGTGACCATCGGGTCCATCCCCGCTGGCCGCATCAAGATGGAGCTCTTCGCCGACATCGCCCCCAAGACCGCGGAGAACTTCCGGTGATGGCCTAAACCCTCCACTAGCCATAAACCCTAGGTTCCATTGGTTTCATTCTTCTGCCGCTGATGTGTTTGACACTGGGATAGATCTCTAATCGTGTTGCTTTGTTGGTTTCAGGCAGTTCTGCACTGGGGAGCATAGGTAAGAGACTTCCAGAGATTGGTTATCTCCTTGCTGTGGGCATGTTCTGAGGCTAATTGTGCTAATCTGGCTCCATCCTGATGTGAAACCATTTATCGATAAGTTTGCTTTCGAGTTGCTATTTTACTGATGCCTATAGTGGTTAGCATGGTCATTTGCTTGGGAGACTAGCTGATGTGAAAAAGGAAAGAACAACATTAAACTATATGCATTCTTAGGAGCAGGGTTTATCTTTGTTCAAAAAGGAAAGATAGAATGAATCAAGGAAGAGCATTTTTTTTCTGTACTTCTGTTGATTATTATGATTGGTGAGAACTTGAGCTTATAGGGGATGTTTTCTGTAGCTTACAGACCTACTAGCTGATGTAAAGAGTGTGTTGTTTGGTATAATAATAAGTTGCTCCTTGCTTCACCTCCATGTTTAATTTTACTTAAACTGATGTTGGGACTATGCAAGGATATGAACCTGGGTCTTTAGGATAATGTGCATAATTGCGGCATGGCAACATAGCACTGCTTTGAGACTTGGAAGGGTGTTTTTCCTATGGGTACAATGTATTGCATTTCGAACCTGTAGGTGGGCGGTGGGTCATGTGAATGACCATGACACAGGAGTGTGAATTAGTCTAGGAGGAAGTTGGATTCTTTCTGCTTTTAGCTGGTGATTTGAGGAAAAAGTTGCTCCAGCAATTATGAAATTACTTTGCAGACAGCAGTCTGATATACGATTTCTGATGCTCAGTTTTGATGTTGGTTGCAGAAAAAATGCTTTGCCACAGGGTTATAAGGGCTGTCAATTCCATAGAGTGATCAAAGATTTCATGATTCAGGGTGGTGACTTCTTGAAGGTTTGTCTGCCAAGCTTCAACCATCAATTTTATTACTTGGCATAGATTTTAACCCAGTGCTATCCTAGAGCTAAACTTGTGTGTATGTATGTATGTATGTATGTATGTATGTATAATAGGCAACAAAAATCGAGGGAGAGTCTGATATATTGTTTTACTCTTTGGACCCTCCTGGTGATTTTGTTCCTTTAGTGATTAACTACTTTTAGTAATCTCCAAGCAGAAATTGGAACTACTTCATAAGTTCATATTATATTCAGTACATAAACTAAAGCCTCCTGTTTTGTGTCCTGCAGAATGATGGTACTGGATGCACATCAATCTATGGCACCAAATTTGATGATGAAAATTTTATTGCAAAGCATACAGGGCCTGGACTGCTCTCAATGGTACTATTTCTTTCCACCACGATGTTTTTTCAATTCAAATGTTGTCACAAGATACTTCTTTTATAATTTCTCTTTGTTTGCACTGGATCTATTGCCTGGACCTAGTGTAGTTAGATTTGTATTTCTGGCATTCTATAGTTACACATATAACATTTTATACACTTCTTTGGAATGGGGATCATCATATGAGCATAACAAATTACTAGGCCCCCTGCCCCTTTACCATGTATGTGCGTAATTTATAGGATCTTGCACAGATGCGCTATATGTTGCCTTAAGATATTCGGTAATCTGTCCATAGTATCAGCCAATTTCGATGTTTCTTGTTTTATCAATCATTCTTTCTTCATGTTCTACATCATTTGCAACGGTTTAGGATCGATTACCTCTGTCTGTCCCAGATCTCGTTTTCATCAATGCTGTATCAATGATCATCAGCTGCCTTTTAAAATTTAAATTTTTTTTTAAGCATTTAACTGGTTAATGTCACTTTGTTTGTTCTTAAAAGCATGTTTGATGCTCCAACAATACGTTAGCTTCTGTCTTATGATATCAACATTTGGTATTTGTCCCCCCTTTTTTGCAGGCAAACAGTGGAATTAACTCTAATGGATCTCAGGTACAATTGCCTTCTCCAAAATTGCACATAGCCTTAATGCCTGAGTCAGATTTATTCCGCAATAAGTTTGAAGTAATATTATTTATTACTGCACTACTGTAAGTAAAACTCAGTTGGGCAATGCCTTTCCCTTCAGGTCATGTTTATAAGAACAAAAAACAGACTAGATATTTTCTTGTACACCCTGTTAGAGTACCTGATGAAAACCTTACTTTCTTGTGCTTGCAGTTCTTTATAACATGTGCAAAGTGTGACTGGCTTGACAACAAACATGTGGTATTTGGGGTAAGCTTACTTGATTCAAATGCTTCCTTTTTTGTGACCATTCCTCAGGATATTGGTTTTATTGCAAGTATGTATATGCATACCTACAGTATTAGGGTTCAAAGGTTAACATGATACATTATAATTGGTTTAGTTTGTTGATAATAAGATTTGAGCAAGATAAATCAAATGTTAGGATTCAAAGGTTTGTGTTTATAGAATTGTAGACTGCGCGGAAATATGGTATTGTAGCGGCCTTTGTGTTTTCCTTTTCCTTTTGCTTTTCAGCTATCACTATGTGAGTTTAATGTCCAGCATTGTCATGTTTATTCAATTCAGAGAGTGCTTGGAGACGGTTTGCTCGTCATGAGGAAGATTGAAAATGTTGCAACTGGAGCGAATAACAAACCAAAGCTTGCCTGCATTATAAGCGAGTGTGGTGAGATGTAGCTTGATCCCTGAATGCGGCTAATCGTGGACTCTTGGACGCTGCTGATGTAGACCATGTTTGGTTGATGAGATTAAGCTGTGGAAACGATATAGCGCATGTAATGAAGTACTGAAGCATATCAAAATTTACATTGATGTGTCCATGCAACCTGTAGAATAATACTCCAAAAGAAAAACTAATGTTCTTGTTTGACTTGGGAGTTGGGTCTTATGTTGTGCTGAACATGTTTGATCCTATTGTTCCTGGTTATCAAGAAGTTTTCAGCTCTACTATGATGTGCTTCAATGATTCAGGAAGCAAAGCAAGCAATTTTTGGACTCAGCTCTGGCCCAAAGAATTGAGAAGTGAAACTACTCGTCTATTCTGGTGTCTGTCCATGGGTACAAGCAAGCAATGTACTTGCGTGCTTGTGCCATTTTTTTTCTGGTGATGTATGCAACCTGTAAGTGGGCTGCCATAAACAAACAGGTCACCATTTACAAGTCGAGGAATCCACAGGTGTCGAATGTTCCATATGATTAGGCTTTGACAGAGCATTTTCCACGAGGATAACATACTCTGGAATGTCAAGCCTGCCGTCAGCTTGCACGGTTGCACCTGATGCGTTCTACCGATGTCACAGACAAATCGCAGCATTTTGCACTCGATACTCGTACGTGCGTGCCATTAAGGCATTAACCATTCTGTCTGTCATCAGCTTCCTTTTTAAGGCCCCAAGGACTCTCTTGATCCCCGCACGTCGTCACTCCTTGCCGCCCTGTAGCATGCCAACCATGTCACGCACGACGCCCTCGAGCCCGTTGACGCGCGCCACGCCCCCGCTCTCCCCGACGGCCGGCGGCACTCCGAGTCGCCTGGCCGTCGCGCCGGCCTGCCCGTCCACCCCGCAGTGCGCCATCCCGGCGTCGCCCCACACGCCGGGCAGGGCAAGGGCGGGCGCGCCCACCCCGCCGCCGGCCACGCCTCGCACGCCGCGCCCGGAGATCACGCTCCGGCAGCCGGTGTCGCAGGCGTCGCAGAAGCGCGCGCCCGCCGCCGTCCGGAAGCCGTCGCGGGCGCTCCGCGCGATCCACGCGCTGATCCGGTCGCTGCCCATCGTCGCGCCCGCGGCCTGCCGCCCGGCGTCCGCGCTCCCGCGGCGCTACACCAAGCCGCACGACGGGCACGGCGGCAGCGGCGGCGCGCGCGTCACCGGCACGTTCTACGGGCACCGCCGCGCGCGCATCACCCTCGCCGTTCAGGAGCGCCCCGGCAGCCTCCCGTCGCTCGTGCTCGAGATCGGCGTGCCCACGGGGAAGCTCATGCAGGAGCTCTCCGCCGGCGGGCACGTCCGCATCGCCCTCGAGTGCGAGAAGAAGTCCAAGAAGTCGACGCCGCCCGAAGGCGGCGGTAACGTGAGCCTGCTGGAGGAGGCGATGTGGACGGCGTACGTGAACGGGCGGCGCGTGGGTTACGCGGTGAGGCGGGAGGCCTCGGAGGGCGACCTCGCCGTCATGCAGCTCCTGAGTACGGTCTCGGTGGGCGCCGGCGTGCTGCCTGGGGACGTGGTGGACGCGCCAGCCGGGGCGGAGGCCGACGGCGAGGTGGCGTACATGCGCGCCGGGTTCGACAGGGTGGTCGGAAGCAAGGACTCCGAGTCGTTCTACATGATTAACCCGGAGGGGGGCGCCGGCGGTGGCATGGAGCTCAGCATATTTCTTGTCAGGGTGTAGACGTTTATGAGAATATTGTTTTACTTTACGATTGCGTTTGAATGTAGATTTGGAATGGGAAAAGGAATGACATTGGATATGAGATGTTGGTTGCTCATATGATTTACTAGCAAATTGGCTTCTTATCCGTTTTGCGTTTCTAACATATTTGCGTATGGAATGTCTTCGAATGAAGTGGAAAATGCATGTAATTGGCTGTACCCATTTCTCGTATGAAAGATTGCTTTTTATATAAGGGTGTGTCTCCGCAGCACTAATGGTTTGCATTTCCGTCAGTCACTTCGTCCACCTCCCCTCCTTCTCCCACGAAGCTCCGCCCATGAAGTCCTCTTTGTCCTCGCGCCCCACCCCACCTTCCTCACTTGTCCTCGCCCCCACGCTGCCGTCGCCGCGAAGCTCCAGCGAAACTCTAGCGCTGACGGTGGCCGCCTTCTTCCCATCCCTCCTCCTTCTTCCGCGGCGAGCTCCGACCATGGAGCACCCCCACCCCGACCTGGCTGGGCCGCCTCCACTACCGCCAGGGCCCCTAAATCGCCCTGCTGCCATCCCCACCTCCTCCCGGCTTCCTCCCTCGAACCCCCTTCTATGCCCGCCATAGATGGAGAAGAAGAGAGGGCGCTAAACTTACCCAACGCTGGCGAGGTCCTCACGCGGAACCCTAGCCATGGGAGGGGCGCTAGCGCGGGTGCGTGGGCATGGGTGACTGACGTGGAGCCAAAATATTGGACGAGAGCGCGAGGAAAGGCAAGTGAAGCCATTGAGGGAACCAAACACAACACTCTATTGTTTGGCAACTAATGCTAGAGTTAAGATAGCTAGCGTGTTCTTTTAAAAAGGGGATATGATGGTATATTAACATAAAGAGCAATACAACATCAACTTATAAAACGGTGTTGAAAACATCATTGTCAAGCAAGACCAAATGTCCACAACACATGAAAATATAGAAGATACACTAGATGGATTAGGGAGCTTCTTGCATATACATGTGATGAAGGTAGGCTTCATTGGGATGATCGGGTGGAGGTTGCTAAGCATCGTCATGTCGGGGTAAAAGGGCCTCCGCAATGGTGGTTGGAGTGGTCTCTACTCGTTGTCTTGGAGGACGCCTCCACTGTAAGTTATGTTTGATGTGCGCCAGCGAACTATAAATGAACGATAACACAAAGAACCTTAGTGGGTGGCACTTGACATAGCAAATGAAGCCACATATGAGAGCTATGAAGATCTTGACGACAAGATGGTCACAGGCAGTTGCTCAAAGTCAAAGTAGGGTGGTGGAGCCTTTCTAGCCATCGACCGAAGCGAGGATGAGGTGCAATAGAGATGCAATGTGGACAACTCAATCTAGGGTGACAGAGAACGAATCCGGGATGGCGGAGAAGAGTAGGGCATACAATGATAGTGAAGAGTGGTCCAGGCATGAGGGGTAGACACAACCCGGAGTGGAGAGATTTGAGAAGGGCATTTATGGTGAGACACGCTAATAGACCTCAAAGCTCGGACTCCTCCCTCGTGGCAATGATAGTGAAGAGTGGTCCACTAAATCCATGCATGAGGTTGGGTAGACACAACCGGTGGAGGAGAGGAAAGGGCATTTATTTCATTGTCACTTAGGCATTGACGTACACCTCACGCCAAAAGGTTTTGCAATGAAGCCGAAGATGTTAGATGACAACCACGAGGAGGCATGAATGATGGGAGGCCTTTGGCAACCCAAATTCACAAGTTATTTGAGACACATGACTAGCAAATCCATAAAAGTAGTCGACTTGCGAGCCACCGCAAAGATCCGGCCGCCCAGTCGCGATCAGAGGTTCCTGACCACCTGCCGTCGACTCGTTCGCTTCTGCCCGTGAGGCGACTAGCGGCGCATCTCTCCTGACTGACGGCGCGATCATCTCCCAAATTTGCAGATCTCTCCTCTCCACTGCTATCTCGCCATCCGTCTCTGCAGGTCGGTCCTCCTCCACCTGCATCTCCTTCCCCAACCGTAGTTTCTCGATCGCTAGAGTTTGACCCAGATTTCCATTGTTTCTTGTAGATCTTGGAGGTGCCGGTCCGTGAGCCAAGACATGCTTTGTCCGTCCGGCATACTTAAGAAGGAGGTTTGATGTGCTTATCTTTGTAGGTTTTACGTGTTGTAGCTTCATATGCGGTGTAGGAGATGGTCAATTTGTTTGTAGATGTAATCTTTGTGAATATGAGTAGATCTGAAATTGTAGTAGAGAAAGTTGGGTTACTTTATGCGCTTTATGATTTTAAGCGTTGTCAGGCTATTCTCGAATTTGTAGCCTTCTACTTATATTGGCTAGGATGCATTTAGGCATTGACGTACATTGAAGAATGAGGCAAAAGGTTTTGCAATGAAGTTGCCATAAACTTAACTTAAACTTGGTACGTAGACTAGAAGATGTTAGATGGTTTTACATTTCGTGTTTAAGTCCCAACAGCCTCCTTGACTTGTGGTTCCGAGAATTCATGGACACCCCAAGGACGTCAACGCAAAAGACCCCGGAAAGAACCGAAGCGGGAGGGAGGGTGCGCCATCCAGCCAGCGAAAGGGGGGGCGAGAGGAGGAGAAGGCAACGGAAGGGATAGCCTGTGCCGGGGCGCGTGGGCGTGGTGGGATTGACGGCAAAGCAAGCGGGGGAAGCGAGCTGAGCGTGCAGAGAGAGGAGAGATGGGAGAAATTACGCGTCGCCCAGCAGCAGCAGCAGCCAGCAGCACGAGCCCCAGCCGCCCGCCCGCCCACCCCACCCATGAAGCTAGCGCGCTCCTCCCCTCCCCGTCCTCATTGATCTCGGTGTAGAATAGTGTCATAGTAATGGATTCCCCATACTGCTTGTCCTCCGCTTCGTTATTAGTAGTAGTAACTTATTTTATATTTTATTTCTACTATATCGACACATTGCTTTCCGCGTCATCCACCCGGCACCCCTCTTCTCGTCTTCCCCTCCACCTCGTCACGCCGCAAGGGTTTAAGGTCCGAGATATATGCCATGATTTTGCCCAAATACCCCTCGCCCTCGCGCTCTCTCCACAAACCCTAACCCTACCTTCCCCCACTCCCTCGGCTCGCCGCCGCCGCCGGTCCGTCGTCGTCGGCCCACTCACCCCAAGTTCAACGCAAAAGGTAAGGAGCTCCCCGTGCGTCGCTCGCCATGTCCCGTCCTCGGTCCTCCCCAGGGTCCGTGCTCACGAGCCGCCGCCGCGCGCGCTGGTCCTCACCCGGGCACCCCTTTTCGTCTTCCTCTCCTCGTCACGCTTGTGCTGCCCAAATTCGCCCTTTCTCCGGTGTGTGTGGCTCGCCGCCGCCGCCAGTCCGTCGTCGGGCCCACTCCGTTGTTCGGGGTGCGTCGGCCATGTCCCGTCCTCGGTCCTCCTAGGGTCCGTGCTCGCCGCCGCGGCGAGGGGTTTTGGGGTCGAGGTTCATTCTTCGCGCTGCGGATCGCAGCTGCTCGTCGGCGTTCGCTGCAGCTCCCGTGCCGCTCTCTCGCGGAGGCTGCGAGTTGCTTCGTTTTGATTATTTTTTTTGGGCTCTCTCAGTCGGTGCTCTCGTTTTCATGGCCGGCGGTTTGTTGGGCGATTATTTATCTCGGTTCATTCGTGAGGGATTTGATTATCCCACATACAGCTATGTTAGAGGGTCTATTTGGCTTATCGTCTGTCTGGTGGTTGCAACTTGATTCAGTGACATATATTAGGGTTTTTTTTTCATAAGGAAGGAACAAATGATATATATACTAGTTGTAATGCCGCATTTGATACATGCAGGCAGCGGAGTTGGCTGGCACGAAGCTCACTTGGTCTGGAGTTAAGCGTGTGGTGTAATGGAGGGGCGCGGGAACCCTCCGCTCAACACCACTGATGCTGTGATCAAGAAGCCAAGGAGTGTCACATCCAGGAAGCCAAGGTCCACGGAGCAGCTCACCTCTGAGTACAATGGCATTTGCCTGCCGTCTCGGAGCGCTCCCCATGACGATGACACTGGTGTTGAAGCTGGTGGGCATCGGAGGAAAGAGCTACACCTAAATAGCCCTGAAATGAAGGACTCCATGGCTCATAGGAGTGACGTGCCCAGGAAGATAAGAAGGGATGATAGATCTGGAGGCGACCATGATGGCCATGGTCGGAGCAGCAAAATGAAGGATGCCGCCAAGCATGGAAGTGATGGTGTTCTTGCCCTAGAGTGCACAGCAAGAAACAATGGATCCCCTGATAACCCACAGTTGGTCCCCAGAGATGACTCTGTGCCTGGTGAAAATAGGCCGAGAAAAGTAAAGCTCAAAGTTGTCGGGATTAATCGAACCCTACATACCAAAATTGGCCAGGATGCTGGTGGCAGTGGCATTCCTGCCACGTCGGATGGCTCTATTCATCAGTACAAGCAAAAGGTTTGTTCAATGTGCTCGAGATCATAATGTACTTTCGTATCTTTACTTATCACCTAGTTTTGTCCAGCATTTCATTTACTTTACGATTGTGACTGGATAGGCATCTCACGTATATATGCTTAGATACTTTAGAGAATGTTTTCACCCTGCAGTTAATACTGGCATATTATTTTGGTTGAAGATTGGATACATACAAGAATGCCAGCAAAACTTTCCAGATTTCTACATGTACGGCCAAAGTTTGCTAGCTCAGTTTAATGCTGTTAAACTTTTCCAAACTTGTTTGATACACTTCCTCCCCTTTCCTTCTGTTAAAAACAGTATACAGCCCCTGTCCGTTTTCATAATCGATACCGTCCCCATCAGTGCAGCAATTCCTCATTCCTCTTGTGCGCCGTAAAGCCAGTGCAGCAATTCCTCATTCCTCTCGTGCGCCGTAAAGCCTATATCCTTCCTCTGGCTGGCTCCATCTCTGGTTCCGTTCTGGTTAACTCTGTCCATAGGGTCTTTGCTGCGCCCCTTCTAGGGTTCGCTTGCAAGTCTGTTGTGGCCTCCGTGCTGCTTCCACCACCATCGGGAGAGATGCCACGAGGCTCGTCGAGC